CACTGTTGTGGCCTTTCCCGTTGCGGAGCACAGGCTCCGGACGCGCAGGCTCAGCGGCCATGGCTCACGGGCCCAGCCGCTCCGTGGTACGTGGGATCTTCCCGGACCGGGGCACGAACCCGTGTCCCCTGCATCGGCAGGCAGACTCTCAACCACTGCGCCACCAGGAAAGCCCCTCTGATGTCCTTTTAAAAACCTCGGTGCACGTTGTAGACAGGGGATCAGGGACTGGGGCTGGGCTGGCCCTGGAGGCACTGCCATTTCTCAGGCAGGGGGCGCGGTTGGGGCAGGGGGGACTTGAGTTTATACTTACCCCGTGCACAGGCCTGCCTCTGGGAAGGGCAGCTAGCGCGGCGCCCTGGACCCGTGCGGTGGGGGTATATGCCTTACTACTCTTTTCCAAACGGAATTAACATCTGGTTTCCCCATTTGCGTCTATCATGACATCCCAAGAAGCTAATGAAGAAGAGTGACAGGCCTGCTTTTCTCATGAGAGCTTAGCTTTGAGAGCTGCCCTGGTTCCGTTCCCCTTAACCCCACACCCTCTCCTCTGTGTAAGGCTTTACATGCAGGGCAGGAAAACCAGGAAAACTCCAGCCACGCCCTACTGTTCTGTGTCGCTGAGCCCCTTCCTCAGGGAGCCCCTCGCCACCTCCCACGCAGCCCCCGTCTGCACGCGTGCGCATCTGCCGTGTCGTGGCTGCCGCCGTGTGGGCAAGACGTCTGCGTAAACCTCCTGGAAATCTGAGAGTCAGCTTGCAGACTTAGGGCCTGAGAATCTACCGTAAATCTGTTGTACTAAGAATCTATCGTAAAATGCAAAAAAAAAAAAGTGCTTTGAAAACACAGAAGGAAGAGGCAGCGTGACAAGGTAGGTGATCGTATGGGTTCTGGCACCGCATGGCCGGTTCTTGCTCAGAGGCCTGTGCTCTTGGGTAGGTTGTGTGATCTCACTGTGTGGAAGAACTTTGGTGTGTAAAACAGGGATATAAACGATATCTTCCTCACACGGTTGTTATAAAACAGTGAGTTACTAATGGAAAAGCTTGGAACAGTACCTAGATGACAGTAAACTTTTAGTAAATGTTAAACATTCAAAAGAGCTGTCAGACCCTGCCTTTGGGACCCCCATAGCCCACTACTTTGCATTTCGTGTGGTATTGGAGGAAGGTGCGTGTTCTTATGTGTACTTATCTCTTCAACAGGCGGAATATTCTGAACTGGTTGAAACATTACTGTCAAGCCAGCAAGACCCAGTTATTTACCAGAGATTAGCAGACGCCTTCAACAAGCTCACTGCAAGCAGCACGCCCCCTGTGCTGGACCGGAAGCAGAAGATGGCCTTCCTGAAGAGTTTAGAAGAGTTTATGGCAAATGTTGGTGGTCTCCTATGTGTAAAATAAACAACAGAGCTTTATGCTTAATCAGATCCTTCCTGCAAAGTGCACTGAATTGCTAACAGTTGACTTGAGTCTTGTCCTTTTTGTCAGTTCGTTGGCCGTTTGGATTTTGGGAGCCTGGCAGGGCACTGTGTGGTGCAGGGAAGCGTTACCCTCAGTCCGTCGTAGGTCTTGTAGCTTTTGAATGGTTATTTCAGATTCTCAAAATGAAATTCCACATATGTGCAAAGAGATATGGGCACCATGAAATACGTATTCAGTGCCTTTTCCCTCTTTATCAAAGCATTAGGTGGCTACCCAAAGTTTAGCGTTTTCATTATCAGATATCAGCTGGATATCTGCTCATCTGCATCACTGAGGAGCCGGTTGAAAAGACAGATTCCTGGGCCCACCTGTAGACAGACCCTCAGAGTCAGCATTTGTTTGTTGGACCTTGGATTCTTGGTTTTAATAAGCGCCTCTCCTCTGCCACCCCTGCAGTTTTCAGTCAGTGCAGAAGGCCGGAAAGCTTCTAGAGGTGTGTGCTTGCCCAGCCCTCCCTTTGAGGAGGGGGAGGTGATTGGGCAGGGGGAAGGGCACCGCCAGGTGTTTGTGGCTTCCTGTTACCACGCTCTCCCTGTCTGTCTTGTGTCACAGCAGCCTGGTAATTGCAGGTTTTGTGAACCTACTCTGATGCCTGAACTTGAGGAGGAAAATACATGTATATTTTTGTTCCATAAGAAGAACTTTAGGAACTGTAGCCATTTCATTGCCTTAATTTTAAGAAGAAATTACAAAAAGCAGATTTGTTTTAGTAAGAAATCAAGTCTTGATGCTTCAGAGTCGGTCTAGGGTGTTAGCTGCTGTGAACGTGGGGCCCTTTTGATTGTGTGTATTTATGTGGTTTTATGGGTGAAATGAAAGGCTCATTCAGATGTAGTGTAACTTTCTGAGTATGTTTCTGTCCAGCCACGTAGCCCATGGCTAATAATTTGCTCTGAATGGCTTGCTTAAGCAATAACTATTTTAAAGGGTGTGAATTACTGATTCATATAGACTCTTACACATTGGGACATTAGGACAGTAATTATTCTAGAGTGGGTATTATACTCATTTCACAGGAGCCACGTAAATTTAATTTAAGAGATTAAAAAACTCACTTTAGATCCTGTAGTTTGATTTTTCTAATCAGGATTTTTGTACTGCTGCCATGCTCCCCTTAACTCTATGTGCCAGCTTAAATTATGGAAACGAAAGCTAACTTATAAACACCAGGCACGTGACACTGTGCCCACTTCAGTGTCAGAATCACACAGCACAGTAACAGGCGCGTTCTGAAACTGCGCCTCCGAGGGGCGGGTTTCTCGTCCCGTCCTTAACATCGTGTGCTCGGCTGGCCTCCGAATGTGGTGTTAACAGCTGGACTGCACAGAGTGGATGCGCCTTCCCATGCACTGCTGCACAGCGGTGAGGGCAGCTCCGTGCTCTTGGCAGTTGCAGTTAACCAGACGGAGCATCTGAATTCCATCCAGCCTGGGCAGGTGCCGCTGGACGCAGATGAAAGCAAAGCCTAGAGCCCCGGCTTTCTGAGGAACATTTCTTTTAATTCGATCACCATTGAGTAACCGAGGTGGAGCAAAAAGTCTTAAAAGACATCTAGGGCAAAACTAGTATCACTCTTTCTGAAGTGTACGTGTTATTGTGTTCTTAAACATACTTTGGACAGTGCATTTAGTTTTAGATTTCTTCTTCTTTCCCTTAAAGAACTTGAAGTCAGAGGCAGCGGTAGTCACTTTGTTTGCATTGTTTCTGGTGTTTCATGTTTCCCAGCTCCCTAGCGCCCAGCATTTGTGAGCTAAATATGTCCCTGTTCCTTTGCCTAAGGGCACCAAGACACGCAGCCGACTGGATTGGTCCACTGACTGCGACAAAACTGTAATCAAGTTGTTATTGAAAATAAAGATGAGTAGGAAAGGAATGCCATGGTAAACAAAAAGGGCATCCGTATCTAATATCTTTTATCTAGACAGATGTATTTGCTGTTTGCCCAGATTTTATTACAGTCCTGCATTTTCATTAGACCACTTTTAATTGAAACAAGATTTTCTTCAGATTGGACCAAATAATACATAAGGTATCATCAGAGTGTTGGTTAGTGGCAAACTGGAAGGAAACGCCACCACCGTTTTTAGGTAGTGGGAAAGGCCACTTAATTGCAACAGCCAGGCTCTTTTCAGTTGTTCGCAGTTTGTTTTCCTGATTGGATATTTGTTTAGTTTGGGGCTTTTGTTTTATTTTGTCGAGTTTTGTCTTCAGCTATGTTTGTTGGCTTTTCAGTTTTGGGGGGTTTTGTTTTAATGCTCTTGGCCCAGTGGGTGTCAAGAATACTGGCTTAATTCTAGTAAATTGATTTTTACTGCTAAAACTGTTGTCAAAGGAGTTTTAAAAACGAAAACATTATTTGTGCCCCTTTTTATATATGTTAAAGGGACACTGTTGAGTATTTGATTTTTTATAATGCTGTGTTTTATAAACTTTCTCTTATTCATACACAGTATCCTATCACCTCCGTTTTCAGTTCAGTCTTTGCTTGCTTTTATTTTCCTTGGCCCTTTTATTTCTGAAGGCACAGTCTCTGCAGACTTTGTACCTTCACAGTTTGTATTTGTGTGGCAGCACCTGTAACTAATTCTTGTAGCTCTGTTTGAAGGATTGGTTTGCATTTGTGGTCCTGGATGGGTGGCTGCCTGGGGGGTAGGCCACCTGAGACAGTATCTGACAGTGTCCTTGCTGCCCCTTCATCTGTTGGGAGACAGTGGCATGTAACCATCACTGCAGTGAGTTTTCAACAGTGTGACCTTTTATGTAAAAAAGCTTTGTAATTTTTTTCAAACTGGTTTTAAGAATTTAGTCTTATTTCGTTGTAAACCGTGTTTCTAATTATATTAACATCACTCTGTTCAGAGGAGATGGTTACTACTATTTTTTCACAGTTTGCATTTCAAAACCAAACATCTCTGTGATGCTTACCCCAGTCAGCATTATTTAACTTCCCTTACTGTCTTTGGTTGAACTTTCTCTTCTACCAAAAAATGTCAAGTCTTCGTATTTCTCCTATCACCATATTTCCCATTTCTGTTAATACTTGTATGAACCCCTCAAGTATTGAAGGGAACAAGTCGTCAGTTTCAAGGATTTCAAGTTTGAGTATTTTAATTTACAGTGTCAGTTGGACCCTTAAAATACTATTTTGGTCTGTTACAATTTTACTTCTTTCCGTTTGCCCTCTGTCACTAGAGGTGTTGCCATTAGACCTCAGCAGGCTCGCTGTCCCTCACAGGTGATTATCATTGTTAGCTCCTGAATAAAATATTAACTGTTTCGAAACCTCAGTGCTTCTTAGGGGTTTTTCAAAACCAGAGAATAAGGCACTGATTTGGATATGAGTTCTTAACATTATAATTTTCTGTAAATTCCTCTATAAAACAACATAGCTGATTTGAGGATGTAATAATGTTTTAAATGATTTTAAAATGTAGGTGGATATTCTCTGACTTGGTAATAACTATATTCTGAAAACACTGCATCTAAGAATTCTTGAAAAATTGATTTTCTAAAATTTTAAAACGTCCAGCTTTAGGTATATTGCTGAGCTCAAATTAATTTGCAGTGAGTGCCATGGTTCACGTTGAACTTTAAACAATTTAATTTAGATGTAAGAAATGTGAAGTATTCCTGATTGATTATAATGGGAACCCATGACATATTTAGCCAAAGACTGTATTTGGTTCAGGTAAAGATAAAAGCTTAATAATGGGCATCCATTCTGTTCTAAAGAGGATGGATGAGGTGATGTGTTTCTGGCCCCTAGCTCTGTACACGTAAGCGTTTGTAAAGGCGGAAACGCGGTGGCGGGGAGGCCCGTGTGTTAGCCCCCCGAGGCTCACACTGCAAACTATCTTTGTCCCCCTCGTCCTCCGTGGTTTGCTCTTCGCCTGGTCCCAGACTTCCCAGCAGTGGAGAGATTTTGTTTTTGGCTTTTCTTCTAAGTCTGTTTTCTGAGGCCTCTCAGCTCTTAGGAGCTGTCAGAATGTACTAACAGCTAATTTTCCTAGCCTGACATTCAACACTGCATCTGCACTATGTACCTAACGGGGATGTGACCTCAAGTGTGTCCTGAGCCCGGGCTACCTGGTGTGGTGTCTTTTACCACATACAATTATTGACAGATTGCAAAGGTTGGTATTGTGATTTGGTTCTCTGTACAAAGGAAAAGGCTCCATGCAGTGAGTTTCTGGTTTAATGGTCACAAAATGTTAGCACTGCTACCATTCAGCACGTGTAAAATTTTTTAAATTTATAAATATTAAAATTTTAAACTTATACTGACTTTTCAGTTTTTTTAAGAGACCCAGGGATGAGTATACTGTTTAAATATTTACCTCTATTAACATTATTAATAAAGGTATAAAGTTGCATTTAATTTTTCAAAAGATGCTACAATACGATTTTAGGAAATAAGGCCATGTACTGAGCCAGTTACAAGCTGAATATAAAATTTTATTTGTATTTTTTAATCCATAAATGGGAGTTAAAATATGTCTTTTCACTAAATATTTTTATGACATTTTTGTTTTGACCATGTGTGATTTGTTCATGGGTGTCTAGCTAGACTGTTGCATGAAACTTATTGAATGGTGCTATAGTTCATTTACCAGCCTAGGGTGACTGACACTGGGGACGTTACACAATCAGAATAATTTTAAATAAAAAACATGAGGACATATCTGCACAGGTAAAATAGGGATTTGCATTACCTTCTGGGAGAACACCCAACCCTAATAGAATCTCCAGAATTCAGAAAGAAAATCGAAGTTTCGTTTATATTCTGTAATATTGAGCATATTTATTTTTATCTCAGCTCACAATCTTAGAAACAATTTCAGAGTTATTAGTTAAATCATTGGATTCGGGGCATATTTGTAGTAAATGTAGTTCGGGTCATTCTTTTTGGCCTTTCAGGGCAAGTGGAAAAGTACCATTCTTCTGTGTGTCAGACAGACTTTCCTTTTTACCTAATTCTAAACCTTGTAAACATATGCAGTGAAAAGTTAACTTTTTTAAGGAAGAAAATGCGTTTTGAAAATATATTTATTTTAAACTTTATATTGCTTGGAATGTTCATTGATTTGTAATGGTATTTCTTAGGTTATATTGAGATCTGATTCCACTCCAAGGATGGATAAAGAACCATTAGGCTGTTTAGGAACTAAGTAGAGCTCATTCATTTTCAAGGGGGAAGCCGTAGGCCCAGGCTGATCACCTTTCATTGGAGGGAGCTGTGGATGATTTTAGAGGCCCCCAGATATAAAAATCTGGTATTGTTTCTTAAAAGACATCTTTAAAATATTGGTGCTCTCTAAAAATACAGTCTGTTTATATTGAGTGGTTTATGAATGATGACTTTGGTGCATTAATTAGATTGTGAAACATTTTTGTTTGTTTCTTAAACATAGGATCGTGCACTCTTTGTAATCTCGAATGGCAGTTCTTTTAAAACTAAATGGAAGCAAAGGGCATATTCGGTGATATTAAGGAGAAAATCTTTTGCTTGGAGTCTCCATACAATCCTAATGGTAGCATACTCTCTTGGTTCTAGCACGTAAGTCAACATCCTGCTGAGCTCTTGCAGTGGAAATTATTTTATCTAGCAAGAGAGTGAACTGTGGTTAAGTCATTGATGCTTCCCAGAACTGATAAATGAAAAAAAAATGGAAGCAAAGAGAGTTTATTTTTATTTATTTATTTTTTATTAAAAAAAAATTTTGGGCTGTGCCACGCAGCATATGGGATCTTAGTTCCCTGACCAGGGATCGAACCCGCACCCCCTGCATTGGAAGCGCAGAATCTTAACCACTGGACCTCCAGGGAAGTCCTGCAGAGAGAGTTTAAACAGGGATGTGCTAAGTATTTTTATTCCCATAGTAGTTAGCAGTTTTGTTTTTAAGCTTCGATAGTGTTCACTACTGATTACTTTGCCAGGTCAGTTTTCAAGTATCCCTTTTAGTAAGCTCCAAATCTTAGGCTGCAATTTTGCAGCTCATAACTGCACTGCCCTGGATGGTCCTTTCTGAGGACTGATTTGGTAAAGCTGTTTGAACTGGCAGAGTACAGGGTAGAGGCCGGGAGACCTAGATTCAGTTCACAGCCCCACTACTTAGGGTTTACATGGATTTCCACAGTCTGTCATCTTATCATAGGACCAGAAGTGTTGTTAATTCCCAAAGAACAAATTTAAAGCACAGTGATGGATAAAATATAATAGTAGATGCTCAATAAATTCCATTCTGTTTAAAGATCATTGATAAGAACACATTTTGCTCCATTAGATAAATGTGTCCTAACACAGAGTCTGACACCTGATAGTCATTCACTCTGGTGGTATTATGATAGAGTTAACTGTATTATTTACTGCATCTTCTTTTCTAAATGAGAGAATTGATCTATTTAAGTCAGTGGTTTCAGTTTCTGTTGAATATGCTCGTATTATTCCCACAACAAAAAGGCCTAATAGTGATTCCCCAAATAAGTTTCATGCACCACTAATTCTTTATAACTTAGCTGTTACCAAGCAATTGGAGAAATAAAACTAGTTTCTTTACTGTGTGAAGTTAAATGCTTTACTGCACAAGTGCACGTTGGGAGGCTGTAGGGGAAGATCTTAATCCGACTGTCCTTACGTGGTGGCCTCTTCACAAAGCACCTTATGGGACTAGACTTCTAGGGACTATCCTTTGCAGCATACTTGGGTTAATTTGAGGAATTTGGTAACAAACCACTAAAAGAAGGAAGAAAAACCTGAATCCGTGTTCTTGTAAGTATAGGTTATACTAGATATTTTTAGAGAGGAAAACCAAGTCTTGCTCCATCTCTAAAGAGGTCTTTCCAGAGTAATCTCCATTTCTTTTATGCCCCGTTTCTGAATAGCATGACGAACAAAAATCACTTCTGAATACACAAAAGGAGTAATTCCTGAATTAAGGTTGATTTGAACTTGCCTGGCAAGTCCAGTTTACTGGACAAATAATTTCCCATTTATTTACTTACTTAGCTCACGGCTTGTGGGATCTCAGTTCCCCAACCAGGGATTGAACCCTGACCCTCAGCAGTGAAAGCGTGGAGTCCTAACCACTGGACCACCACGGAATTCCTGTAATTTCCCCTTTATTTCAATGATGATAAAATTGCCTCTTAATATTTTAAATTTTTTATGATTTGCAAAAACCGTTAAATTACATTGCAGAAGTTTCATCTGGAAAATTCTGACCTTCATGTATCACTGTGACATGCTGTCTGAGCAGTCAGCACTATTGGTGGAGGTGTAACTATTTGAACTTCCTGACAATTACGGTCACTTTAATTATAAAAACAACATAGTAATACACATTACATGCAGATAACACTATTGTGTCACATGATATGAAAGCAACTGAAACTTTGAAAGCTTAAAATCTGTTTCACACCAAAAATAATTTGCTTTAACGTAAGCCTTTCTGTTAAGCCAAGGCAGTTTCTATGTATGGAACACTACCTCTGTAAAAAAATATACTGCCGTAAAAGTTGGTTATTGTTTCTCGGTTCATGTTGTTGCTTTCTTTTAGCTTGTGTATGTTTTCTTTCCTGCTCCTTTGCTAATAAGTTACAGCTGGTTTTGAAATACCTGGCTTAGTGGAGTTGTCATCAAAGCAATCAAAGAAAAAAAAAAGTATGGATTGCTGTTAAGCCTGGAAACAGTTTTTAAAATGGAAATTATGGTACTGCCAAAGCTGTAAACCTGTTTTTTCATTTATATCCTTACCTTATACCGAAAGGATGTAAAGCTATTCAGCAGAATTTAACTTAACAAGTTCATAGAATTGGTAAGGCAAATGAAGGAAAAGAAGGTAGGAACATAATACAGATAGATAGCCTTGGAGAATGGAAAGTAAATACATCACTTATAATTGGTAACTGCCAGGGTGGAAGGGAGCCTTCCTTTCCGTGTGCAGGTGCTGTGTTGGGTGCCTTAGAGCCGGCCTGCGAGCACACTCCTCCCCGGAGGCTCTGAAAGACTCAGCCAGTGGGCTGACCAAACACCATCCTACGTTTGGGTCATTTCTATAGAAATTGTAGTGGCTTCATAATGAGACTATTTGCTGGATTAGTAGCTGGTCTTATTTCAGCGCGGAGACAGCGCGTGCGTCTTCGGTTCAGGCGCCTCTCGCCCTCTTCACAGCGAACCCCAGCGTGACAGGTGCAGGTGCTGGTCTCACCTTAACCACGTCAGGCTTGGGAAGGGAGAGCACACCGCGGAGGAAGTCGAGAGCAGGGTTTTAAAGGTTTTTTCTAATGCTATCTTTACTATAAAGCTTCAGGTTAATGTCCGAATTTCTCGATTAGACGGAGGAGACGGAGCAGACAGAGCCTTAATGTCTGTGAAACGTACAAGCGTATCGAGTGCAAAAGAGCAGGTCCCTTGGTATGCGTTTGACCTGAAGGGAACCTAGTTAAAACCTCAAGTACCTTTTATTGCCTCCATCTGAAGCACCTGCTGAGTCCGGCGCCTCCCACCAGCACGAGGCGGCCCAGCGACTGACGCGGGACCCAACCGCCTGCCGGAAGCGCCCGACTGGGCGGTGTACGCGTGCGCGTAGCCAGCCACCCCGCCCGCGCCCCGGTTCTGCTGGTTACTGCGCATGCGCGGTGGGGCCCCGCCTACGCTGCCGGCCTGGCGGGACGGTGTGCGCACGCGCAGACGCAGTCGGCTGTCCGGGCCAGCGAGGGGAGGCGGCGGCGCACGGGAGGAGGCGAGTGGGGCGCGTTGGTGAGTAACCAGAGCAGCCTCCGTGCTCCTGTGTTCGGGTTTCTGCTCCTTCGGGTTTCCCGGCGCAGCCTGGGGGCTGCGGCTGTAGTCAGCGGGGCCGGGGTAGGTGGGAGCTGAGGAGGGTCAGCCCCGGCTGGCGGGGGCGGGGCGGAGGGGCTGCCTCCTTCCGTCCCCTCAGGGAGGCCGCAGGGGCTGAGGCGTCTCGGCCGGGCAGAGGGGGCGGGGCGGGCCGGGGGCTCGTGCGCGTCGAGCCGCGCTTCAGGCAGGTGAATTTCACCCCCGTGTCTTAGTTGTAAAATAACAGGGTAGAGTTTTCGAAGGCGGGAGAGCAGGCGCCGTACGGAGCGGGAGACCACGGGGACCGCCCGGGCTGTTCCGCCGGGTCACTCGGGAGGCCCCCGCGCCCCCCCCCCCCCCCCCCCCCCCCCCTCCTGCGCGGCCCCGGGGTGGCCTTGGCCAGGAGACACTGTGTGCATGGTGTGGACAGGGAGGAGCGGCCGGCTGTAAACCTGACATGTGGAAGTAGGCTTGTGTGCGTTTGAAACGTGCATGGCCTAAGGTTGCCTCTTGCGGGAGGGTCGCTTTGGTTTTGTGGAGTTGTTCGCGGCAACGCAGGGTAGCCCGCTCCTCCCTGCTGACGCAGCTCCTTGATGTGCAGCCTTCGCGCGTGCTGTCCGCCTGCACGCCCCCTTCCGCATCCTTGCCTGTCCGTCAAGGCCCAGGTACGAGCCACCTGCTGCTTGTCTCCGCCCTCCACCCGCACGCGCTGCTCGTTCTGCTCTCAGGGCACTAAGCGGTGCCCCTCGGATAGAGGGCTCGGCACGTTGCCACACTCAGCTGCCTCCTGTGCGTCTTTCTGCCGAGAGCAGGGTCTCAGCCCTAGCGCTGGTGACTTTGGGGCCGGGGAGTTCTTTGCTGTGGAGGGTGATTCTCTAAACCGTACGGTATTTACCAGCATCCCTGGCCCCTACCCATTAGATGCCAGCGCACCCTCCACAGAGAACCACTGAGCTGCAGTAGCAGCCACACGAGGCTTAGCATCAGTTTAATAGCAGTGTAGCACAGCACTTCCCAACTCTTCTTGGCTCCTGTTTTTCTTTTTTGGCTGCGCCAGGCTGCTTTCAGGATCTTAGTTCCCCAACCAGATCTTGAACCGGCCCCCGGGCAGTGAAAGCATGGAGTCCTCATAACCAGCGGACTGCCAGGGAATGCCCTTCCCAACTCTTTTGGAATTGAAAATCTCACAGCAGTTTCACAGGCCCACTTAGAAAAATTTTTAAAGATGCTAAAGATATGATGAAGTAGTGACTTAAGCTTAAAAAAATTTACTGTATTACAACTAAAGTTCAGTTAATTTAGAATTTAGTAATGTTTATTATATAAACAGATTTTAATTTTTCCTACTTGTGATGCTCTCATGAACTCACTCTAATAATGTATGTGAAACAGTGTATGATTGCTAACATTTGCAATTCATGTCTCTCCATTGAGCGTCTCTTACCGTAATCCAAAATATATTTTATTCCTATTGTTTGTTTTCTCCCTGCCTCACTAGAATGTAAGCGCCAAGAGGACAGGGACTTGGATTCCCATCACCAAGAATAGTGCTAGTGCAAGGTAGTGCCTTGGTAAATGATTATCAGCTTTAAAAATAAACTTTTAGGGCCCAATTCATACTGAAATACAGATTGAAATTTAATTGCTTTTTACAGCCACAAAAGTAGGCAGTTTTCTTAAATTGCTCTTTGGAATTCTTTCATTTGAACGAAGTCAACTTTTTTTTTATGGTTTTCATGTGTTATTTCTAAATAATTAGCTAACAGATTCCAAGTTGCAAATGAAAACCTTTCTCCATCCACAAATGCAGCTGTGGAAAGTGTTTAGTACTAATAAATAAAAATTCAGATATTCCTGTCTGTATGAAAGATACACACGTATATGTGTATATATGAATGTATATGGACACACATGTTTTTCTTTGTCCTTCTTCTAGACAGTACTCTTCTAGACAGTATTCTTCTAGACAGTATTGTGGGGCAGCTTGGATCAGGAATCGGTTGTACACTTCAAATTTCTCAGGAGACATTGGATTTTAATATTTGCCTGATTCTGACTCTTGAAATACAGGACTAAAATGAAGCCTCTTAGTACTTTGCAGATAAGTTTGCTGTGTTCTCAGACTTCCTCAGCTCAGCATTGCACACACTAATAATTCTCCCTTCTTCTTTTCTTCTTCTGGGACTCCCACAGTGCGTATGTTGGGCCACCTGAAGGTGTACCCCATCTCTGCTGATATCTCCATTTTGTTCAGACATTGTTTTCTTAATGTTCTCCACATCTTTTAGTTCTTTTAGCATCTTTAAGACAGTTGTTTTGCCATCTGATCTTTTTCAGGGATGGTTTCTGTTGGTTTACTTTTTTCCTTTGAATGGGCCATACATTCCTGTTTCTTTGTATGCCTTGTGATTTTTTTGTGGAAAACGCTGGAAATCTCAGATTCTCCCCCTTCCCCAGGATTTGCTTTTTTTGTCATTCTGTTGTTGTTGCTATTATTGTAGGCTGTTTTTGTGCCAAGGATCAGCCTGAGGAAACTTAAGGTCTTTCTAAGCCTACACCTTTTCCTGGGCATGCATAGTGACCTTCTAAATTCCTCCATATATTCAGTTGCTATTTATAATGGTCTGGTCCTTAAATGTGTGGCCCCCAAAAGGGCGAAAAGAGAAAAATGGAAGCGGGGGAGGTGCTGGCACTTTAAATCCCCTCAAAGTTGCTTCTGCTGGAGGGGGGAAGTGCTAACAACAATATGAGCCTTGCAGCGATGGCTGCCTGACTCTGTCTTTGCCTCCATGATTAGAAGTAGCTGTCAACGATCAGAATACAGATCCCCATTATTTGAAGGGCAGGGTCCTTATTGCTCACCTTGCTCCCACAGGCTGCTCCTGGAGCTGTTGAAATTGTGTGTTCTCAAACTTTATTGTCTACTTGGCATCCATTAATTACAGGGCAAAAGTAATGGCCCTGTAATTCCTTACATCTTCTCTGCACGTTAGCTCTCATGGGCACGTGAAAGTCATATCACAGACCTCCCAAACCACACATTATAGAATGTGTATTTTCCCTTCTTGCCCACTGTCTTAACAATAAAGACACTGTCCCAGTTCTTTCTCTGCTTCCTTGTTCCTGCATGTGACAGGTTTCATGTGGTCCTTCACCATGTGCTGTGCCTCTCATTTCCTGGGGAACTGTGAATAACAAACTCCTCTTTCAGTGGCATTGACCTCTCCATATCCTCATTCAGCTGTATGAATTAATCCCTGAGCACAAAACAGGTACCCCTTTGTGCACACCTTCCTGAGGCAGGAATGAGGAGTGAGGAGTGGGTAGGCACTGCGAGTTAAGTGCCCAAATGGAGTGAAATTAACCAAATGTTAAGTCTTCCCGTGGGAGTTGCAAGCCTTTGAATAGACTCTAGGGATCCAAGATAGTTACATCAGATAGATTTTGCCAGTAAAATTATCTAGGTATGGAGACAGTCTTCCCAGAACCTTCTAATAACCTTTATACACACTCTCTCACCATTCACTCCCATTGATACCACCTTGACGGTGTCAACCTTCAGAACAGTCTCACCTCTCTGACCACTTTATTTTGAGGCTGTAAAATGATAGATCTGCTATATCTGCATTTTGTCTAAAAGTGATAACAGTGATAACTGTATTTTATCAAATCTCAAGAAAACATGCTGACAATTAAACTTACACTCATTTTAAAGCCATCTGTTAAAGTAATTTAAAAAAATGTGTATCTTAAGTCTGTGAATGTGATACATGTGACAAGTCAGTCAAAGTCAGTCCTGCTCCAGGCAGACAGCATCCACCGTGCTCCATGCAGACAGCATTCACCATGCTCCACGCAGAGTTTCCTGTCACACTTCATAGTATTCCCTTTAGTTACTAATTTCCTGTGCTCCAGTTTCACTCATTCCCTCTTCTGCCAATTCACTTTTTGTAAAGTAGACAGTCATATGAAGGTACTAAACTGTCTTATTTAGTGGTTATAACAGATACCATATTATTAGTGGTATACTTACAACTTCAGGGAGTACTGAAGGTAATATTTGTGTTCCTGTTGTGTGCCAAGGACTATTAGGCCCTTTATAGATAGTAATTCATCTAACTCAAAATAACCCTATTAAGTAGGTGTTTGTTAATATTTGTCCATTTTATAGATGAGAAAATTGAGGCATAGAGGGGTTAAATACTTCCTTCAAGCTATGCAGTTAGTAAGTGGCAAAACCATGATTTAAGCCTAGGTAATTTGGCTCCAGAGGCCATGCTCTTAATCCTGTATCATGTTTTTCTGAATGTCTAAATAATAGCAGAAATACTTTTTCACAATCAGTATAAAAAACGTGATCATCTGCTTCGAGTACGAGTTGTTTCTATGATCTAGTCATTAAAGTGAACATCTACATCTTGAGATGGGTGTGTGCACAAATTACAGATAGTTTAAGATGAAAAATTTCAAACGTTTAAAACGACAGCCTGTAGTAAGAAGTTTTGTATCATGATACATGACCCTGTACACACATGTGTATTTTTTGCTAAAACATTTCACAAAGCAATATTTAACTTCTACTATAAGCCATATACTTCGATACAACTTTTTCTATTAAAAAAAAAAATGCTGGGCTTCCCTGGTGGCGCAGTGGTTGAGAGTCTGCCTGCCGATGCAGGGGACACGGGTTCGTGCCCCGGTCCGGG